GTATCTTCCGGGCGCATTTCAAAATTGAAACGATTGCTATTGTTTGGAATGTCTTTAACATGAAAAAAGGGAATTGTTTGAAAAAAAATTTTTTTTCATTTAGGTTTTAAATAAATTATTCTGAAAGATGATACCTTCAATATAAAAGATGTAATTTTTTTCGCATAAATCACTTACCCGGCATACGAAAAGAGCATGTCATGTGAAAAAAAAATGTAATCAATAATAACAATAATAATGATTATGTGATGACTCCGTACATGAAGGGTTACGACAGGCCTGGTTTAGACCTCACTTCGATTGATGTCGCCAAAACATGTGGCCATTCTAATAACACGCATCTAATATTTGCATGTAATTGCGTGATAATTAATGAAAAAATTATCAACATGAATTACCAGCAAACATTACTTCCAAGGGTTAACTGAGTCTTAGATAAGCCTTAACGTACTCAGCCTCAGGTTTCAAAACCTGAACTAAGCCTGATATGAGGCTTGCCAATGGCCTTGATGACCAGCCTTATTTCATCCTAAAGTCAACGATGAGAACAGGCCACTGAGCCTTACCAATACAGGGATCAGACAAGCTTGTTTCCATCGTCAGCCTTAGTAATTCCTACCTGGGGCTGTTAATCGAAAAATCGTAAATGTGAAAATGGAACGATTGCGAAGCTAAATCCCAAAATCTCGTTAAGTGTTGAAGGGAATTTGAGGAAATTAAAATGATTATTGTGATAAACTGTGTTTTAAATTATTTCAGAATATTTTCTACACTTTTCCAGTGCAATGAAAAGTTCATTGATGAAATTTTCTGAACTTGCCGCAGCGCGCGTATACAAATATAAGCCTTTACTCTTCAGATTTTTTTTCTATACATAAGTAACACAATGATGAAAAAAAAATTATAGCATATTTTTAAAGGCAATTTGCGCACGACACATGGCGGAATGACCCATATGTATGCATAATCATTAACATATTCAGCATCTAAAACAAAGAATATTTTGGTGATTCCTCAATTGGATAAGCGTCAATACAGCCGTAGTAATATGTATTCGTGCTGTTAGCTAATCTAAAATTATAACTAACAGTCTCACGGTTAGAACGAATTAATGGATTCGAATTTCAGGATTAATTTGGAAGAATTTCTTTTTGACGTGCTGACAGAGGACCGTCAACAGGAGATCCTGAAGGAGATGAAATCGTTGATTGGTAATTAATTTTCATATGGGAACTAAATTCATTGAAAAAATACCCATATACGCAGAGAAATATCCACGAAAAATTACTGTGTTCATATTAATAAACGTGGGATAGCCATTTATTGCCTTCAATGTCAAACCCGATGAAATCTTCTAACGAGAGGACATACTAACCAATGATATTTTACTAGAAATGAAAATCATATGTGCATATAAACAAATTATATATTGATTTCTGTAGGTGGTGGAGAAAGTCTATTGGCCACGGATGACATGATTTTATTCCCTAGAAAATTTGCTACCAGGTACCAAACACTTTTAATTCTCTAAGTAATGCCGACAATCTTTTTGTATATGGGACATAGCATATCAACTCAACCACTCAACTGTTGTTGTACTGCTTGTGCTACAATGGCCGTAAACGCCGGAATGTGCTGCAAAGCGTCGTTTTTTAGAAATTGCAATTGATCGGCTCATCGGGAATTTGTTTTTAATTGAAAAATAAATATATATTACTTAAAAAGGAATCATTTTTCCCCGTGATAAAATGAACGTTACGTGACATTGCCGGAAAATCGCCAAGCGCACTCGTCGCGTTGAGACACGATGGCAGGTGACTGTTTTATTCTTGTTCGAATTGTTTACGTGGTTCTTACGATGCTTTACTTATAAATATTCTGTCCGATACCTGCCTCATTGTTTTACCATAATATTACGATATTTTATCGAAACTTTGCGTCGAAATACTTTGAATCATTCTTGTACGATTTTATAAAGAGACTTGGTAGCTTCTTCGCGTTGAAACACTATGGCCGGTTACTGCCATTCTTGCTCGATTGTTTGATGAGATTCTTACGATGCTTTACATATGAATATTCTGTCCGGTACCTGCCTCATTCTTTGACGATGATTCTAAGCGGTTTTATCCATACTTTGCGTCGAAATATCTTCCATCAATCTTCTACGATTGTATGACGAGACTTAATAGATACTTCGCGTTAAAATACCGTGGCCGGTGACTGCCTCATTCTTATTCGATTGTTTGACGAGATTCTTACGATGCTTTACATGTAAATATTCTGTTCGGTACCTGCCTCATTCTTTCACGCTGATTATACGCGGTTTTAGGCATAATTTGCGTCGAAATAACTTGAATCAATCTTCGGCGATTTTATGACGAGACTTGGTCAATACTTCGCTTTGAAATACCTTGGCGGGAGACTACCTCATTGTTGTTAGATTTTCTGATGAGGTTCTTACGATGCTTAACATATAAATATACGGTCCGATACCTGCCACATTGTTTGACAATGATATTACGCTAAAAAAAAACTATTCCTTAAAAAGGAATGATTTTTCCCCGTGTTAAAATAAACGTTGCGCGACATTGCCAGAAAGTCGCCAAGCGCACTCGGACAGTATGTACGCACCCATGCAGCTCCGTAGAACGAATGCAGCAGCGCTGAGCCTCAAATAACCCAGCAGAGCCCTAACAGAATACAAATTGTTGAAACCGATTTTGCCTTTTTATAATATCTCATTCGGATTCTATACTTTACCAAATGAATGGATAGCTAAATGTTCCAATAGCCTTACTGAATTGAGCAGAAAGGCCATACATATCCGCGTTGTCGTATTTTTCGGAGCTGTTGTTATGAAGTTTTTTTACTGTGTGAGCTAACCGAGTCGAAGGCGAAGCAACAACCACACGTGGAAAACAAGCAGTGCGAAAAAAACTATTCAACCGATTACATATCACTGTTCCTGTACTCGTGTTATGCGATCGGTAGTTTGAGAAATAATCACACCAAACTTTGTAATGATAAGACCTAAAATCATTATAAATTTCAAGGTTATATATAAGCTATTTGATGAGTTATAATGAATACAAGTTATTTTAGTTTAAAGATCCGAAAATGGAAATAAAACGACGTTTCTGAAAGTGCAATGTCCTATTCTTGATTCAATCGAATAAGCGTAATCACGAGGAGTACTTAAAAAAAAANTTAAAAAAATAAATTGGAACATGTAGATTGATTGCCAAGATATTGGCAACAAAGAAATTTTCACGACGATATGCCGAACACACAACGACGACCAATATTGTTCCATATGAATTTTCAAATTTTTCCGTTTGGGAAGTAATACCGGTAATACCTATTCTCCAGCCCGAAATCATGAGTCCGGTGAAATATTTGAGGGTCTACAAGAAGCTCGTATCGTCTATTCACGTAGCGTTTTGATGAGTGTAGATATATTAGTTACTTTTTTTGACTTTTCTTGAGGCCATGGCGTGCGTATCAGTGCCTCACGTGCGTTGAATGTATCTTACGGTATATAATAATATAAAGTTTGAATCCAAATGTGGCGGAATGCATTTTTTTGGTCAACCCTCGCTTTCGGCTTACACCCGCCAAAAACGCCATTCACCAGATCGTTATGTAAAAAGCCATTAGATGAAATCTAACAATAATTCATTTAATTAATAATTAATAAACTCGTTCGTACTGTAGAGCCTACAAAGGCAGGAATATCTCGCTTGGACTGCTCAAGGATACGACTCAAGAAGAGAAGCTCAACAGGAGAAACACCTATACCTGAGGTTGCACCAAAAATTGATGTTCGTGGGGCGAATGTAGTCCTCAACTCATTGGCCCATGCTAAGCACGAGGAATATGTTGTGTTAGGTAGTTATGCTGGCGCTGTTGAGATAGTATATTCTGTAACAATTCGTTCTGTGTGTCCTTCGTATTCACACTAATAGAAATCGCCAGCAAAAATTACCGTGTCATTTGGTAATCGTGCAGTATTTTGCTCCTCCACAATAAAAGTACCTAACCGTAGATAACAATGGAACATTCCACAATCATTCAAATGGAAATCAATCATTCAAATCAATCATTCAAATCAATCATTCAAATCAATCATTCAAATCAATCATTCAAATCAATCATTCAAATCAATCATTCAAATCAATCATTCAAATCAATCATTCAAATCAATCATTCAAATCAATCATTCAAATCAATCATTCAAATCAATCATTCAAATCAATCATTCAAATCAATCATTCAAATCAATCATTCAAATCAATCATTCAAATCAATCATTCAAATCAATCATTCAAATCAATCATTCAAATCAATCATTCAAATCAATCATTCAAATCAATCATTCAAATCAATCATTCAAATCAATCATTCAAATCAATCATTCAAATCAATCATTCAAATCAATCATTCAAATCAATCATTCAAATCAATCATTCAAATCAATCATTCAAATCAATCATTCAAATCAATCATTCAAATCAATCATTCAAATCAATCATTCAAATCAATCATTCAAATCAATCATTCAAATCAATCATTCAAATCAATCATTCAAATCAATCATTCAAATCAATCATTCAAATCAATCATTCAAATCAATCATTCAAATCAATCATTCAAATCAATCATTCACATCAATCATTCAAATCAATCATTCAAATCAATCATTCAAATGATAATCGGAATTATACATATGTGTAAATAGTGTTCTGTGAGCAATCAATAAATTTTACACTGGAAAATAGATGAATTCACTCCGCCAGCCGATGAAAAATCTCCAAACATGTAGATAACGCTTGTCTAGAAAGCCGATAATTTTTTTCGTACGGTAAGTTAAGTTTTATGAGACAACAGAAACAAATTGTACGGAGTGGTACGGAAATTTACCCGAATTGCGAAGCGCTGCACGTGTACCAAACGGACCGGTAATTTATGTCGAACTTTTCTCTCAATACATGAGGTATAATATGCTAAGTTTTCCGCAGTGCCCGAGACTGAAGAATATGGGACTTCTAGTCATCGCCGTGGAGGAAGGAACGCAAGGGGGAGAAAACCGTACCAACGCCGTAAGGGCTCGTACCCTACAGATTCATCAAAAACTAGAGGTACCGNAGGCCGTAAGGGCTCGTACCCTGCAGATTCATCAAAAACTAGAGGTACCCAAAGGAAGACAGTGACACCAGCAAGGCGAAGGAAGGGCAAAGCGACGGGTAAATAGTGCCATACAAGTTTTTATGACAAGCTGTACAATAAGTCAAGTTATCACACACTGCGCACTTGCCACAGTGCGCTGTAAACGCGACTTTTCTGCAGTCTATCATGAAATATTATCGACCACTGGGGTGTGAATTTAATTTTCAACGAATGTGATAACAGACCTTGCCCTAGGCTGGGTTTGTGAATACATTGGTCGAAAACAAAATGAGTACCCTAGTGCTGTAAAATATAGATATTCCACATGGGCGTTGCTTTAATTTACAACGAATGTGAGTAGAGATGTTGCCCTCGGCTCAGCCTTTAAACCTGACATTCCTTAAAAATGAAACTAATAGCTTGGTGCTATAATGGTCAATGAATTATTGACGGGAAAGGAAGCCAATAAAATCCCGACTGATATGGAACATAATGAGTAATTATTTCGAATTGGTTTTAAGGTCAAACAATCAATACACCACCAAATCCTCAACAAAACATCTTCGACAGAGACTTCCCGCCGTTCGTCGTAGAAGAGATCGGACAAGGTGACTGCGAAGACGATGAGCCCGGTAAGTACTAACTCCTGTAAATACGTGTGTGTGGGTTTCTGCACAAGCATAGACATGGGATAGAGATATATGGATGGGCAAAGAGATATACATATATATATATATACCTGCATAATGGATTGGCATTATTTTCAGAATTTACGGATTTCGAGGTATTGGAGGATGAGGACGGATTGATGGAGCTGGGACTTCGTGAGTGCGATCTTCTCGACGGAGCTGAACGTAAGTGACTCAATAGAAAGACATGATAAATCCTGCAAAATGGTTTTAGCAAAAGGAACAGCAGGGTGAATGAAATTAAATATTTTTATTTTCAGATGCTTTCCTGTGAGAAAAGCGGGATGATGTCGAGGAATTGTGACGAAGAGCGGAAAAAAATATATGGGAAATGAAAGAAAGGACCACATAAAATATTTTAAGGAGTTACATAACATATGAAAGATTTAATATGACCTATGCCGCTGTGAATGTCTTTATAGAAATATCACCTCGATATTTTATTTTTTGTACGAGGCTCGCTGGTACCTGCCTCATTGTTTTACCATAATAATAGGATGTTTTATAGATACTTTGCGTAGAAATACCTTGAATTATTCTAGTACGATTTTATTACGAGACTTTGTAGATACTTCGCTTTGAAACACTGCGACGGGTGACTGTCTCATTTTTGTTCGATTGATTGCCGATGTTCTTACGATACTTGACATATTAATATTCTGTCCGATACCTGCCTCACACTTTTACCATAATATTACGAGGTATCATCGATACTTTGCGTGAAAATAATCTGAATTATTTTTTTTCGATTTTATTGAGAGACTTGGTCGATACTTGGCTTTGAAATACTGCGACCGGAAGCTGTCTCATTCTTGTTCGATTGATTGACGATGTTCTTACGATACTTGACATATTAATATTCTGTCCGATACCTGCCTCATACTTTTACCATAATATTACGAGGTATCATCGATACTTTGCGTGAAAATAACTTGAATAATTTTTATTCGATTTT